ATTACTCTAAAAATAAAGTTTTAAACTTTTATGATAAAACTGCTTAATTAGATTTCCCTTAAAATAATGTTATACAAGACATCCTTCCTTGTACTGACATTCTTCAGAAATCTAAGATTTTACTTCCTCTCATGACTGTGGAGGCTTTATTGCGTTGTATTTGGCTTCTACGAGAGGCGTACACACAACAGAGTCCAGGGAATTCTGGGAACTCTGTAACGACTGTAGATATCGGACTCGGTGTTTCTCCACGGCTGGACCCCAATCATCTGTGTGATGGACCAACTTCTTAATTCTCTGTGAATTTGGAAATCATTGTTTTAATTCATTATGTGTAATATGAAGTACACACAAAACAAGGACACATGACAGACCATAGGAATAATGGGCCATATCATAAATAACTTAAGCCATGTATTATACACCACAAAGCTAGAGATTTTTATAATGAGGCAATTATGACCTAATTTTGAGGTGTAACACAAAACCCATAAGATGCATCAACTGACGAAGTTCTATGATTCTAAGATTAAGATACAATGAAGCGCATTGAAGTGGTAAAATTCTCCGTTTGGATGAAAAGTTCTGAGTCATGTTTTGAAGGTCAGTTATAACATAATGACACGCCCATATTTTTAGAAACGAGAAAGTAATATTCGTCGTAGTTTTAGGACATCCCATTCTTCGCGACAAGCATCATGAGTTACACTGAAATGGAGCTTTAAAAAAGTTAGAAGAGGGAGTTAGAGACTCCCCGTTTCTGTTAAACACAAACTGCAACGAATATGTACATATTTTTGAACTTATCATGTCTATTGAAGTTACCACAACACATGTTTCGGTCGAACACATGTTTACTCGGTGTTTACTTAGATCCTCAATTTGATTGGCTATTATATTTATGGAAAACCTGTTCTACAGGTATTTGAAGAAACAACTTGACCGTTTTATCAATTTCTAAAGAAATGGGCGTGTCAAAAGATGACAATAAACACTCTAAATATAGCTCAAAACGTTCCATTCGAACGGAAAATTTTACCACTTCAATGCGCTTCATTGTACTACTGTAACAGTAAATCTGTTTTCAAGTTTCAAACAACATTACAAGCAACTATCATTTCAAAAATTTAGTTGAAATTGAAAAAAAAAAATTTAAAAAACTTTAAAAAATACTTACTTGAAATATGTCACCTTTTTCTTTTGAAATGGCGATTAGTGCACATACTGGGACAGGTACCAGAGACACAAGTCCCAGCATCCAACCAAAGACAATGGCTCCATCTGGGTATTCATAATCTCCGTAGGTCACCGGACTTAACTGGGTCACACTGAACAACCATACACCCTACAAAAGAGGATACAAGTGTTTTAGATAGACTTAACTGGGTCATACTGAACAACCATATACCCTACATGTACAAATTTAAAGATGATACATTAGTGTTTTAGATAACAATTAAAGAACATACTTTATGTAAAGAATACATGTACTATTGGGGTAGTTACTTACTGATGCAAAAATTTAATTACAATTTCATTTTTTTTCCTGGTCATAATCAGTATTCACAATGAAATTTTTTTTTATAGTGAATAATAGAAAACAGAGTATAAAAACTATAATTAAAAGAAAACTTTTAAGCAAGCATTGCCTGCAAGCTGATACCAACTTACAGCAATGGTAACAGGTGTGATAAATAACCAGCAAATCTTCCACCAGACACTAGGCTGGTATCCAATCATCAGTTCTATGTCCTTGTAGAATCTGTCAACACCTGCATAAAAACATCATACCAACATTCAGAGAAATTTCGAAATCAATCTTCAAAACAAGAGGCCAATGGGCTTCAATGCTCACCTGACTTAAGGTACTGTCTTCATCCATCCCTCTATATATTACTATGTAAAATTTCTATGCAAATTTGGTCAACATAAGGCTTATAGTTACTACAGAATGAACCTGCTACAAAAATCTGTACCCCGTTCACTCATATAGAAAATGTATGTCAGATCCAGCATCTGAAGCAAGTCCCTTTGTGTGCATCCTTGGGTGTATTATCCATTCAAGTTTGATCAACATAGGGCTCAAAGTAAATTGTGTATGTTACTTTTATAAGACTAACCATAGATCCAGGCTAATGTTACTTTACAAGACTTACCATTGATCCAGGCTAATGTTTCTTTTAAAAGACTTGCCATAGATGATAGATCCAGGCTTATGTTACTTTACAAGACTTACCATAGATCCTGGCTAATGTTACTTTACAAGACTTGCAATAGATCCAGGCTAATGTTACTTTTACAAGACTTACCATAGATCCAGGCTAATGTTACTTTACAAGATTTACCATAGATCCAGGCTAATGTTACTTTACAAGACTTACCATAGATCCAGGCTAATGTTACTTTACAAGACTTACAGTACCCGCATCGTTATTCTTTACAATTCTATCGTGTCCTATCGTGCGTGTATCCTATCGTATCGTGCGTGTATCCTATCGTATCGTGTTTTCCGTTTATCGTGTTTTGCGTTTTCTATCGTGTTTTGCGTTTATCGTGTAGATCGTTTATCAGGTTCTATCGTGTATTGTGTTTTGCGTTTATCGTGTATATTCGGAAACCCTCGCTTTTTATCTTTACTATCGAAAGAAACTACTGAGGTATTCCGAATTACTTTTTCGTTTTGTTAACTAAAATAAGATTACTTCCACAGAAAAAAAGGAAAAGAAAGTTTTATCCCTTTCTTTTTCATCATTAAAAGAAAAATTAAAGCGTAGAAGGAAAAGAATAAATAAATAGCGTAATTCGTGAATAAATAAATAAATTATTGATTAAATAAATAAATAAAATAATTATATCATGGTAAAGCAGAGAGTGATTGTCAAAATTTAAACAGTAACTCTATTTTTCGGAAATGTAATTATAATCGATCACCTGGTCTATTTTTTTTAAAAATAATTCATCGAATTGTATGATTTTTTTTTGGTCAGAATTAAATAATTTATTATTAATATGATTTTCTTAAATGAATCAGTTACTGGAGAAAGATTTTTTGTAAGATACGGTGTATGCATACCCAAAATGCAAATAAATAAATAATAGCAGGGGATTGATATTTATCTTTTTTTCATGCAATATTCTTTTTCTTCCCTTGTTTATCGTCTGATAATATTAGTTATATGTTTACGCCTCTGATCTGCATGTATGCACAATTATTTAAAGTCTTGATGTTACAAAAATAATAAAACATGACATTGATCCAGGTGATTTTAACACCGATTTTGGCCGTATGTGTTCAATTTCTTAATTCATTTTTTATCCCTATTTAAGTCGCTAATTGTAAATTCCTTGATATATGTCTATATTAATTTTAAAAAATCAAAATTATACAACATAATGCATGAAATATTCTACCCAACTTATCACACCATGGCTGTTACTATAAAATAGAAGTTTTTCATTAATTTTATCTGGCATTAGATAACCTAAATATAATATATATAGGGAAAAACATGATGTTTTTTAACAGCTTACCTTTTCGGCGTGGAAATGAACTAAAAATATAATCCACCGGGGTGTAAAATCGAAGACCTTTCTTTACCAGAAAACTGACACGTACATGTACATGTATGTGTACCTCTCTAATCAGCACACTGCCTTCCTGTGCGGTCAACACCCCTTCCCCCATTCTCCCCTAACTGGCATCTCGGCCTGTGTGTGTGATCACCGTCAACATACCTGTACTGATTTCTCACCTGTGGTCAATTTGTAACTTAGAAAACTACAGTCCTGGTTCTAATGAAACGCATCAACTTATTTTCGGGATTTTGTTCCTAACTTGTGTGAACAAACGTATCAAAGATTTAATTCAAAATATATTAAATAATTGTACAATTTATGGATTAAAAATCATCTCATTGCTTGAATTTTAAATAAAAATTCAAATAAATCAATTTAAAGAAATGAAGTCCCTAAACTCAATCCGCTAATGCACTTAATATGGTATATGAACTTTCGGATCATCGGGTTTTCTGCATAATACGGAAAAAATTAATTCTAGGAAACAATTTCATTGATCGTTTAAACGGATGAAATAGTTCTAACATTCTAAACTATGAAAACTTGCTCGCATAATTTTTTTTTACGGTATTTTACTATAATAACAAAACAAAAGAAGTCGTCTGATTCCGCCGTGACCATGCGAGACAAGTAAATGCACCGAATCAATTTATAGTATTTTGTATTGTAAAGTAAAAAATTATCTAATCATTCAATGTTCGTTAATTAATACGAGGTTTTAAGTATCTGATATATAAATGTTTATATCTACATTTTAAGTAAGAGCTTAGCGTAAACGTACATGTACATGTGCAGTTGTAGCAGATTCATATTCTGTTCACACAGTTTACATGTATTAATGCAGAGCGCCATTGTATTAACAATTATTTAGATTTCTATTCAGGAAATTAATTTTCTTGAACTATTTAGTTCTTGATAGATCTATCATGTTGAATTTATTAATTTGGTTACAGCCGTTTTCTTTGAACCTTTCTTTTGGCCGGTCTTCTACTTGTATTTTTTTCTAAGATTTTAATATTTAATTGCGATTTTTGGATACAGTACATCGCAGATTGTAAGCTTTAGACATTAAATACAAATATTTAATTTATTGTGTAAATTTCTTCCGTGAAATAACTTAGTACCTGTAGATAAATTTATTAGATAGAAAATTCAAATGTATATTTTTTCATAAATAATAAATCTATTTATAGAGTTTCATAAATTTATAATAGTACCCGTGAGAAACGGTACATACTTATTATTATGTATGCTAAAATATCCATAATAAAACGATTCATAGTTCAACCTTAAGATGAGAATTTCGACATTTACACAAATAATCGTACATTCACACCTTTGAGTCGAAATTTAAAAAACAATTACAGTCTCCATTTTATAATAATCCATTTAATCATTTGTCATTTTTTGATATATAAATAAACAACTTACCACAGTGATCTCAAGTTATAAATAATATATTAAGTTATTATAATAATTAAACGTACTTTATAATTTAGATTTGAAGCCTTGCAAGTATTTAAATTAAAATATTGCAGTAACTAAACAAAATAATCTTTTCGTCTTGTCAAAAAACGTTCCGCATTTTGAAATAATCCTATCAGGTTTTGCGTTTATCCTATCGTGAAGATCGTTTATCAGGTCTATCGTGTTTTGCGTTTATCGTGTTTTGCGTGTATCGTGTTTTGCGTTTATTGTGTTTTGCGTTTATCCTATCGTGCGTGTATCCTGTCCTATCCTGCGTGTATCCTATCGTATCGTGCGTGTATCCTATCGTATCGTGTATCCTGTAAAGAATAACGATGCGGGTACTGTACAATTTATCCACGCTAATGTTACTTTACAAGATTTACCATAGATCCAGGCTAATGTTACTTTACAAGACTTAATTACCATTGATCCAGGCTACTGTTACTTTACAAGACTTACAATTGATCCACACTAATGTTACTTTACAAGATTTACCATAGATCCAGGCTAATGCTACTTTACAAGACTTACCATAGATCCAGGCTAATGTTACTTTTATAAGACTTAATTACCATTGATCCAGGCTAATGTTACTTTTATAAGACTTACCGTAGATCCAGGCTATAACCACACATTCTGTCAGTGACAGTAACATCATAGAGAACACAGCGCAGTACCAGTCCATGATCTGTAGCACATAGATCCCTCCCTATAGATAAAAACAGATTAATTATCCAATGATTATAAATGTCAAATCAAAAACATCTAAAATACAACAAAACTCTCATCTGATATTTCCGTATTGTAAAAGTCATAATATTCTATGGCTGAAAATTGTCCAATGAAAGACATTCACATTAAATATATTATTATCTTAAAAATAATTTGATAAAACTGTTTTTTAAGGTCTTCCGTTTCCAACGGAAGACCTTCTACTGATTCTGTTGGTAAAGATTATTATTCTTTTTTTTCTTCTGCTTCCTAGACCGCAACTTTGAGGCCTCATATCTCGGTCATCTCTCAACGGATTTCGCTCAAATTTTCAGACGCTATAGACGTTAATAAACTCTATCAGAATAATGTCTAAAATTTCAAAAAGCCACTTCCGGTTTTGAGTTATTTCCCTTTAAAAGAAAATTTATAGGCTTTCGTTTCCAGACAAAGGCTCAGAGACGGCTAAAGCTGGAGCAGAAATTCTACTGATTTTAGATAATAGAAGGATTGAAGTTGTGCACATCGGTTTTTGTTTTTCGATTTCAGTATTCAAAATGGCGCTATATAGGGGTCAAAAATTAGAACGCTTAAAAGAACCAAAAATTACTCATATTTTTCTTTTTATCTTCTAAACTAAAAACATTTTGTTAAAATATATAGAACATAATTTGTGCAGAATTAGAAGATCTTTCAAATGATATGTCGAAAAAAAGGGCTGACCCCTAAATTAAGGGACCTAGAGGGGCCTAAAGTTTTTTCCAGATATCTCAAAAAGTATTGAGAATTTGTTATGCATCAAAGAAGCAAAGTTGTTCAAAATATCAAGTTTTATCTAATGGGGTCGTCAAAATACGTCCGGCGACGTCACTTCCGGTCGAACCGGAAGTAGTCAGAAAATGCATATTTTGCCGTTTTTGACAGGTTTTGGGGTAACCTGTCTCACTAGAAGCTTAAATATTAATTTTCCGTCCGTCGTCGTCACTTCCGGTCAAACCGGAAGTACCAAAGAATGGCTTAAGTTTGCTATACTTAACATAGATTTGGAGGATTAACCCATTTTTGGACTTCATTACTCTTTTTTTTTAAATGAAAGTTACTTCCGGTCAAACAGGACGGAAGACCTACTCGTTGCTTTGCAACGAGCTCGGCTCTAGTTAATATTGTCTTATTGAAAATGTCAATAATTTTTGTTTAAAATTTTATCAAGAGGAATATTTTTGAATGATAGACTTTCACAATAGATGAACAGGAATACAACTTTATTTTAATCACATTTAACAAACTTTAATGAACATGCATATTTGACAATAATGGGAAATCATGTATTTTAAATGCACTGCGTGAACAAAGTGAACATGTATTTGCAAAAATTTTTTTTTTCAAAAAAGTCAATCCTCATTAAATTGAACTCATTTTGTGACCAAGAAAATATTAGAGAAATCCAAAGATTTGAGGTATCCAGGTTATAATATATAAATCAAAGGCCTGAAGGGCCATAATGGCTTACGTGCTTGACATGGATGTAAAATGTAAGGAAATGTAGTATACTAGAATATTACTTAGTGTTTCCTCAGAAATTTCTTACTGCAAGGGTGGGGGGTCGCTGAATTGACGGCCTGAGGCATTTCTTGGCAGTTGAGTTTATTTTATCTAAATTCATATTTAAATGAAAAATACAAATTCACTAATAACCTTTTTTAAAGGTAAATAAAAGCTAAATATATAGATTTTGAACAAATTGTCAGTTTTTGCTTAAAATTATTCAACAATAGAGTTTTTCATATAAAAGAGATCTAATCATGAAAAATTGTTCTATTAAAATTTTCTATAAAGCCATTGTCTTTTTACTGTTTTATGTTACGGTATTGTGCTAATTTTGCTATCTACAAATAGGCCCCTAATGACCCTCCCTTATTTTTTTATGTATCTACTCTTGCAGTTATCTTGAAACTTTCTGTTCTCATTATGTAGCACCAATGTAATGCTTACTGCATGTAGATACAAGGGTCATTCAAAAAGTTTTGTCCTTAGTGGAATAAAAAAATAGGGACATAATATAATTTGCATTTCTTTATTTCATTCCTTCAAAGTACTCTCCTTTAACACGTATACACTTTTTTAGTCGTGAAATCCACTCCTGAAAAGCTTTCCTATATTCCTCTTTAGGCAGACCCTTCACAAACTGATGAATTGCAGAGCCAAGTGATGACCTAGAGTTATAGCGTCTTCCAGCTAAATGTCTTTTAAGCTTTGGGAAGAGAAAAAAGTCACAAGGGGAAAGATCTGGAGAGTAAGCAGGATGGGGGATGACATTAACCCCTTATTTACTGAGAAAATCTGTGACTAATTTGGACTTGTGGGCTGGAGCATTATCGTGCAACAACAAGAGACCCTTAATACCAGTTTTTGGACGTTTGTTTTTGTATTGCTGTTTAAGTTTATGCAAAATTTTACATTTGTACATCTTTCCAGTAATACTTCTCTTCTTGGGAATAGGAAATTGTAATACAACACCCTCCCTATCAAAGAAAATGGCATAAAGAATCTTCTTGGTGCTCTGACAGCGTTTGGCTATCA